ACAGCAAACGCTATGCATATAATCACAACCGAAGGTTTTTAATCTATAATGGCTTGTATTTGGACGTGAGGGTAGCGCAAAAGAAGGCAAGGGATATGTAGCGCAAGACCCACGCAAGGGATTTTGTCATCGCAATCAGGAAGAGCGCGGCAAAACCGTATGTCGCGCGGGACTTGCGACAAATTCGCACGACCTCGAAGATTCGTTGGGAGCGTAATAGGTGTAGCTTGTTGACTATGGCTTGGAAAAACGTTGAAATGTATTTCCTTAACGGAAGTTAACCGACCCGAGCAGACCTGGTCGGGTCATCAGAGCCGATTTTAACATTACAACTTCTACTCCCTCACCTCTTATGGACCTCCGCAACGGCTTCAGGTTTGTCGATAGTGGCATCAAAAGTCCAATTGGGTCTATCCTTAAGAGTTACCAATTCTTTCCCAATACAAATACAATTAGGAAGAAGTTCTGCTTACCTTTTCAAAGAAATCATTCACGACATTTGTTAGCTCAGAGCTGAACGATCCATCCAACACTCGAATTTTTCGCAACGATGGCTGCTCATTCATGACATAAGAGGCAATATGAAATAGTCAGGCTAGAATGCACATTTTAAGAGAAATTTTCGGAAGTTCAGACAATCGAGGAGTTTCGGTATAGTGTCATTCATTTTATTTTCGCGGAATCAGTGCGTAGCTCTAAAATACGCCACAAAAAGTAACAGTTTCTAGCAACTCCATAGTAGAAGGTAACCCATGAACAGGGCCTGTGATGCAGTTGAATAGAATTGGTCGCTTCGCGGCGAGAGCGACGTCGCGCACGAATGAATGTAACGGAACGATGCGGAAGCAACGCGGCGAGTAAGGAATACAGGAACAAAAGGAGCAACCGCAAAATCATACTGTGATTAACAACTACATATCGATCGAGCTGTAACGAACCAGCGCTACAACTGCAATAAGACTCAACGAGCCCGCGACAGCCGTGTGCGGCGAATCGATTGCACAAAAACGATTCAACTGCCCGTCTCCCCCGTGAACATCGGAGAAGATTAGCACGATTCTCGTGAGCTGAGTCGTGTACTTGTCTTATGTTAGCCCCAAGTTCATGAAGACAGTTGAGTGCGTAAAATTTAGTTATTGGTTTCCATAGCCAGATCTATAATGAACTTTCTTTAACAATAACTGGCACAATTGAGCTCTGGGAAAGCCGGATTCCTCCCGTTTAAATGCAAATCGACTCTGCAGGTATTGCAGCGAGAGACAACTCTTCAATTGACGGGTAAAACTTCCAAGTAAACCTACAGAGCTACTTGCGCAGCTCCTCACCATTTTTTCGAAGTCAGTAAGAAGCTCGCAGCGAGGGCCTGAATTGCGCAGCCATACGTAAACCCCACAAACCGTTGATGGTATTCAAGGTATTTTCTCAATTCGCTTCGCAGCGAAGGGTGTAATTCGAGCCACTTTTTTGGGTGACAATTCAAATCGTTCTGCTCTGAGACATCTGTAATCAGTTCTATAATATGGGTCGTTGCACTCCGCTGATTCAAAGCGACATCGTTTCAAGAAAGGCGCCCCTCTGGTTGCCGCGGTGTTTCAGGTCACGCGGTATTCCGGCTGGCACCTCCTGACCCATATCACAAGTTAAGAGCACTAATTTCGACGAGTCCCCATTACTCAATGACTTTCAAACAGCGAATGGTTTTGGCTCTATAAGGAAATATGGCTTCCTCTACAGATATGGCTGTCACGGGCTAGAAGATCATCAGAATTTTGCTTCCTTCACACCAAACTACAATACCATTGTTTTGTGTTTGGTATTATCACTGGATATACCGGTACTACGAGAAAATCGATACGAGAAACGATTTATCCACTTCTACACTTTTCAGAGTCATATACATATATTGTATATATTGCATATACGAAATTTATCTGACTGCCGTTCATAACGATTATGATTGAATGGACCGGCTTTTGTTTAGCACACAAAGAAAACCAGCAAGATCCAGCACTAATTACTGGATCTTACTTTCGAACTTGTATATTCTTTAACGTGCATGATTCGAACTGAAGATATATATGACACATATTCGGGTAGATTGTTATAAAACGAAACGAAATTAAACGAAAATACAAAAAAAAANNAAAAAAAAAACAAACAAAATCGACTCGCAACTAATCGAAAGAATAAAACTGGTATGGTCCAAAAGAAAACCATAAATACACAGTTAAATTCAATGTAGCTCCTAATGATACACCGTAGTTAGCAGCGTCATGAACAATGAACTTACAGTATGATATGAATGTGGCAACTGAATAAATGTGGCAATCGGTGGACGAATCCGAACACACTGTGACGGAACACTGTACCAGACAGATGCCCTAATTTATTTTGAGGAACCATGAAAACAAACAAAAAAAAAGTTATTTTGCTACAGGAAACATGGGAGGCATTTTAACGGCAGGCTTTGCTGGGTCCAACATCGCATCCAATTCATCTGTCAGATTCTGTAGCATATAGCCAATGTCCGACAATACGTTACCATTTGGGCCCACTGCATGGACAGGTTTTTCACTGAAATATGGCTAACTAGTAATCTGAACACCATATCAAATCAATAATAAAATGAAAACATTACAAAACGTCTGAAAAGAAGAGATTTGTAAAAGAAATGAATCAGAAAGGTGCGCCCGCGCTTGAAGCCAGTGCACTCCGAGATGAATAAGAGCAGTGCGGCGAGACATCTAACTATGGTAACCAATAAGGAATTGGCGCGCGGCGAGACAACTAGCTAAGAAAAGCCGTGCGCCGTGAACGAGTTGAAACGTTCACCATACACGCGATGAATCGTAGAAAAGTGAATCAGTCGTGTCGTTTCTTACTGAGTTGTCACAAGCTTACACATTACAACATGTCAACCTGTTACGACACGCCAATAGCTCTGCTCAGTTGGGCTGCACTTTTCGAAAAAAAAAAGTACACGGAAAGACCAAGATGCCTTCATTTCTGGGACGAGGCTCAATAACTCATTTTTCCAAGAAACCAAAAATCTGACTCATGTAGTCAAGCGCCTGACACTAGAATGAATCGAGGACAAGGATTTCGAGATCCAACTTTAGCTGATCAACAACAACTATGTATTCTACCATTTCTTTGCCTTTTCAAAATCAACGAATCTTTTTTTTATGAAGGTCAGGGTCCCGATGTTTGAATCTTGTGAAATTTCGAAAATTTTTCAAAATAACCCTGGATGAACGATGCTTGAGTAAGCAGTAACCAACCAGTTGGACGTTGAGCAATCCGATATCGTCATAGGCAATGTTTTTCGTGGCGTTTGCGGCTGTGACATACTTGCCGGTGTCATTCGTGCAGTATTGCTTTTCGATCTGAAATGGATGCTACATTTCCGACGTCAGCTAACAAAAAAAAACAACAAAACAACCAAAAAACAAACAATACGAAAGATTTTTTAAAAATCCTTTACATACTTGATTGTTCCACAATTTTCATTGGCAAATGGCAACTGCTCAAGGCTGGAGGACGATCCGCCACTGCTACTTGCTGACGATTGAAACGCATGCTGCAGTCGGCGTATTGAACCTTCACAGTGTAGAGGAGCTGAAATACAGGGGTTTTTCTTGAAAACCTACTGAAATGTACTATTAGAACTGGAGGAAGCGGTGGTAACACTCAATTGAATAAAAAATCTAATAGAAAAGTCGATCTCTCAACAAACCTGGTGGAGGCGGACAATCCGCATTTGGGGCGCCCAGTACAGACGGTGTATCACGTTCACGGCTTGCATCACTTAGTATTTTCCCCGTGGATACCAAATTTAGTCGTATTGGCTCGATCTATAACAAGTATATTTAACAGTAATTTTAGAAAATGAATAGTTCATGTATCATAGTTTACTGGATTCAATCAGAAAATCAGTTTGAAATAATGTCCTCTTTACAGGTAACGTTTGGAAATCAAGTTTATGTTAGACGATACGAACGATAACAGACGATAAATTTAAGTTATCAAAGTACAAAGCCTGCTATCGCATGACGCTTAATTCTCATTACTGAAGGTCCACCAGGTCCTTTTTGTAAAATAACATTATGAAACCTAAAAGTCCTATTCTACGCGGGGCAAGAAGTGTCTGCTATTTCTGGCCTCACTCTCGACGGAAAATGAGCTGGGGCACTTCCAAAGCGGCGTTTTCCTGATACCTTGCAAGAGAAATTGGAATTATTGGCCTCCAACCCGGACATTTAGCGTCAGAGTACCAAATAAGCGGACCGAGCTCTCAAGGGGGAAAAAGGCTGTAAAAGAAGAAGAACATTTCAGAAACCTGATATGAAGCTTTCCGGCCCATACCGTATGCCTGGCATTGACAGGAGTTATACGTAATCTTTTTTATTTTCATTTTCATTATGCCTTTTGGAGAAGGAAAAGGTTCGGTTTCCTACTCCTCACCTCCGCCTTGAAGGGCTTAGTAATAGCTTTGGAATAGTTCCCCAAGATCACTGAAGTTCTATACATATCTCTGGTATGATGGGAGAAAATCGATACGGCGATGATACTTGGGGATAATTATGTATACCCTCCATCTTCCAATATCACTCAACCCCTATAAGGCTGCCCAAATTTGACGCTCATCGGCTGTTTTTTCGGGAATTCGCGTCATGGTGTGTTCAATTCCTTTTAATGAGTTTTCTCATGTTTGCTTTTTTAGTAAACATCTCATTCCATTCTGGTCAAATTAAATTGGACAGGCTTCGCATGTACTTTGCTCTCCCAGGCTGAACAATTCCTCAAATTCGAAGAAATTCCGGAATGAAGTTGTACTAACAAGTAAAGGAACTGCAAAGTATGCGATAATTCTACTCGATAAGAGTGTTCTAGTAATTCTCCGAGCAAAGCTATAAATAGCGTCATCCCC